AAAGCAAGTTTCAAACCAGTATTCAGCAGAAACACAACTGTCTTTATCGAACCATGATTCACTCTCTGACTGCGTTTAGCAAAAGATATAGATTTGACACATAACACCAACACCACTTTAGCTGATTCAGAACCACAGACACATGTTCAGTATAAGACCAGATAGTTTTGCATTTGATTGAAGACAGACACTCACCAGGCAGAGTTGGCTTATCTCCTGGTGTAGCTGGTGCTAGCTGGTTTTAGCATGTTAGCCGGTGTTAGCCGATGTCCGTAAATTTAATCCATTTGGTCAAACCACCTCCAGACTTTTCGGTTTTGCCTCTACTTCTGCTGCTGTGATCTTTCATTTCACGGTTGTCAGCTTTTTAACTTTTCTCTGCATTGTCATGTTCGTGGGAATCATTCTGCTCCGTCCTTAGCGCTAGCTCCACAAACACCTTCTGGTTTCTGGTGGAACCATCGAGCTCACGCTGGTGTCCTCTCCTCAAACTGAGGAAGGTGTTGCCCTGATCCACCGACCAAGGAACTGTTTTCCGTACGGACGTCATGGGTCGAGGCAACGTGTTGTTTGTTATGATATTTGCAACAGCTGAGGCTGAAGAGTGATTGACAGCGCATCTGACCAATCAGAATTGACGTTCGCCGACGTCAGATTGTTTTGGCGGCCTGGCTAGTGGAGTGGAGTCCGCCTTTACTATGGGTCAGAACTACATAGAGAATGAAAGGCAGCACCACCACCGAGGCGTTTTTGACGCTTGTCGTGTGAAAGCCCGAGAGCCGCACGGAACCAGCCAAAGAGCCGCATGCGGCTCACGAGCCGCGGGTTGGCCACCCCTGCAGTAAAGGCAATAATAACAAACAAATATGGAACGGGATGACCAAGGTTGTTCTTAGTAAATGTTAATAATTGTCCATAAATGTCCCAGGTGCCTGCTCCCACGGATAGACAGGTTGTAGATCCAAAACTAAGGCTGTAGAGCGAGAACTGAGGCTGTGCAGTGCAGAACAGGTTCGAGACGGGAGGAGAGATGGAACCTACGATATTGACTTAATGTACTTTTCTCAGTGTTTGCTTTGATGTTGGACGATTGTAAAAACTATGAACATACACAGAACCTTCTTGCTGAGGGAAGCAGAAAACTTTTCCTTCCCATTAATATGGGGCATGTGTATTTTAGACTATCTTTCTCCCATGATTCTCCCTGTAAATTGAAAGATCTGCCTGCTACTATCAGAGTTCCTGTTTGGACTGTCTTATCCTTAGATCGCACATTCTCTCTTCAAAGTCTTACTATGATTTGTTTTTGTCACCCATCTCTGTGAACCACATCAAGTTGCAGTCCTGCAATAAAATGTGCAATGTAACAGCATCTTAGAGTATAAAATGGCATCACTGGCTTGTGTGCAACCTCTCCTTCTACACTTGAACTATAGACTGTATGCAAACACTCTAGCTCAAAGAAGCCCATAGGGAAGTGCTCATAGGTGAAGTTTTGCTCTGGCTTTTATTGACTTAGATTGAAATATAAATTCATCCAACTCAGTAACAGTTTAAGTCACTCTCACTATTTTGGGCTTAACAAATGCCCTGTTTAACTTTCTTTGTGATCCTGGTGTTTATATTTTTATAGTGTCTTTTAACCAGACACGAGCCACAAGGATTGACCAATCAAATGCTTTCATTTTTGGGGGAACTCTAGCTTTCCCTAAAACCATCTTAGCAACACATCTGTTAAGGTTTGTTGGTATTTTACATTTTGTCTTGGGACTACACTACTAGCTGCAAAGTTAATTCTGACACATTTACAGTAATGTTGATGAACGTGTATCGTCCCTATTCAAATAAACGAATGCATGGAAATTAATTTAAATGAAGATACAAAGTTAACAGCATGAAAGAAAGGCCAATATAAGGGAATGGGCCCCAGCTACCTTATGTTAAAATCTCTTGCACATGAAGCTAAAGATTAAAGGTGCACTTTATTTATCCCCGTAGGGCAACTCATCCTCTGCATTAGACCCATCCCGGTTCTAGGGCATCTATCAGGAGCAGTAGTAGTAGTATTAGTAGTAGATTTTAACGCTCGGCTTGGTCAGGACTACCAGAGCTGGAGGATTTACCTATTGTGCATATTATTAGTGATAGGGGAAACCGGAGCACCCGGAAGAAACCTACGCAAACAAGGGGAGATCCTGAAGGCTAACTCATGAAGGCTAACACTATGGTGATGTCAAACTCCTAATATACAGTCTATGTTTGGAACGCTGCGGGCATGGGTGAGTAGATAATGGACAGTATACGAAAGTCTCACCGCTGCTTCCACTGGCTCCTGATTAAAAGCTCAGTGGGGTCTCTTTACAAAGTCTGACAGGCCTTTTGGATGCAACCCATTGCCAGTGTATGTACTAGTTATGCATTAGAATGTAGTTTCAGATTTGGAAGCATCGCCATGGCAACAGTTGCAGCTCAGACGGTTGCTTTTAGGGACGGTTATGTGTATGTGTGTATGTGTGTGTGTGTGTGTGTGTGTATGTGTGTATGTGTGTGTGTGTGTGTGTGTGTGTGTGTGTGTGTATGTGTGTATGTGTGTGTGTGTGTGTGTGTGTGTGTGTGTGTGTGTGTGTGTGTGTGTGTGTGTGTGTGTGTGTGTGTGTGTGTGTGTGTGTGTGTGTGTGTGTGTGTGTGTGTGTGTGTGTGTGTGTGTGTGTGTGTGTGTGTGTGTGTGTGCACTTGTTTTCAACTCCTGGTGGGTTCCATAACCTGAGATTCCACTCACGTCATGGGGACTGGTTTTACGTGGTGGGGCCCGAACACCGGACCCCACTGGTCCAAGCTTAATAATCAATGGGTAATGCTTTTCTAACGGTCCTTATGCAGTCTCTGTAAAAATATGGAAAGGACCCCTGGAGGTTTACTTTCCTGAAAAAAGTGTGTTATGTGTCGGAACCCTGGTGGTGGGTTGCGGGATATCAAGGAGGGGCACACTGGGGCAATTTCAGTCCAGCAGGCTGGAGCCAATCATGGAGCAGCACAACAGAGGAAATCAGGTGTCAGGCTAGAAAAAGGTGCAAGTGTGTGGTTCATTAGGCTGCAAGAAATCATGGAGGAGCACACTGAAGCGCACGCTTACAAACCACTGGTAAGTGCTGACTACAAGTCATGACTTCAAATTGTTATATAGAATGATTACAAATTATTTGTTGTTTGTGCAGCTTAGTCAAGAGTCCCTAATTGATGAAGTCGACTCAGATTCTGACGATTTAACTGTCAAGAAGAAACCTGTAAAAAAGTATGGAAAAAGAAAAATCAAAAACACTTTTCTTCAAGACTCGGAAAGTGACGAACCAAAGGCAAATAAGATTGTTATCATGCAGCTGCAAAAGAAGAAAAATGGGGGGCGAGTATACAGCAAGAGACACTTCTGCCTCTACTGTTCAATGTCCTGCCACAAAATGTCCCGTCATTTGACTAGAAAACATGGAAATGAAAGTGACGTAGCCAGAGCATTGGCTCTACCTGTGAAATCTAAAGCACGTAAACTTCAGTTTGATTTGATCAGGAATAGTGGAAACCGTGAGCACAATTTTGAGGTTTTAAAGGCCGGCATTGGAACTTTAGTCCCAGCTAAACAGCCAAATTCCCCAGTTAAATCCAGTGAGTTTTTGCACTGTATAGACTGTGGGGCATTGCTTAAGCGAAAGTCGCTGTGGAGGCATGTGGCCAGGTGCCGGCTTTCACAGAAAGATGCCCAGGCTAAACCAGGTAGAAGTAGGGTCCAGTCCCTCTGCTCCCTAGCCCAGCCTGTACCGGAGGGCATCAGCAAAAAGCTGTGGTCTTTAATTTCGGCAATGCATCAGGATGAGGTCACGGGTGTTGTCAAAGCAGAAAAGGGGATTCTGAGACTCGGAGAGCACCTGTACTTAAAACACGGGCATGATAAGACAAAGCATGATTACATTAGGCAGAAAATGAGAGAAGTCGGTAGGTTAATTAACGAAGCAAAAACCGCAGGGAAACTGAAAACAATTAAGGATTTCTTTATTCCTTCCAACTTTAACCATGTGATTGATGCAGTCAGGTCTGTGGCTGGATATGATGAGGAAACAAATCAATACAAGACTCCATCCTTGGCCCTCAAACTCGGCCATAGCCTCAGAAAGCTAGCAGATATTCTTGAATGTGACTCAAAAATGGAGCATTGTGTTGATGAACTATTTATTAAAAACCTCCAACGAAGCCGGCTGCTTTTTGAGAAGAGGTGGGACGTCTGTGTTTCTTCTGCTGCCCTACAGACCCTCCGGCAAGCCAAGTGGAACACTCCGGACCTGCTCCCTCTGACTGAGGACGTTAGAGCCATGCATGCACATATTGAGGTATGTCGACCTGAATATGTGCAAACCCTAATAAGTGAGCCAACGTCTAAGCATTGGTCTAAACTGGCAGTTTTGACTCTTTGTGAGGTCATCATTTTCAATCGAAGAAGGGAAGGTGAGGTTTCAAAGATGCCACTGACAGCCTTTACCTTAAGAAGTAAGACTGGGATCCATTCTGACATTGCTCTGGGACTGTCCCAACTTGAGAAAAAGCTGTGTCAGCATTTTCAACGCATTGAAATTAAAGGGAAAAGAAGTCGGAAAGTGCCGGTTCTTTTGACTCCTGAAATGATTGCTTCGATGGAGGTGCTGGTGGAGAACAGAAGGGCCTGTTCCATCTCTGACCATAACCCATACTTCTTTTCCCGCCCGGGCGCAGACACCCACATCAGGGGATCAGACTCCCTACGCCAGGTAGCCAAAGAATGTGGTGCGGTGCATCCAGAGATGCTATCCTCAACCAAACTTAGAAAGCACATAGCTACTATGTCTACAGTTCTCAATATGAAAGAGAATGAGATGGACATACTTGCCAACTTCCTCGGCCATGACATTCGCATCCACAGGCAATATTACAGACTACCAGAGGGGACACTGGAGCTGGCCAAAATCAGCAAAGTGTTGATGGCCATGGAGCAGGGAAGAGTGACGGAATTCGAAGGAAAGAGCCTCGACCAGATACAAATTGAGCCTGAAGGTAATTCTTGATATTATTAAAATATGTATGATTTTTTTCCCCTAAAGGCCACTTGTATTTTTATTTTCTGTGCGACAGGGAGAGCAGTAGAGATCCTCTCACAAACGGACGGGCTAAAAGAAACTTCAAGCGGAGAACCTTCAACCATTCATCCAGATGCACCCCATGGTAGTGGCAGTGCCCCTTCTGGTAAGTGTACCAGGTGGGGGATTACAGCCAGGCTGCTTGGTCCTCACCCTGGGAGTGTATATTGCTAATATATTTTTATTTCTCTCCCTAGAACGTGTAAGAAAGCCATGGTCTGCATCTGAGGTGAAGGCTGTGGAGAAGACCATGACACCTTTCATACAGACTGGAAAGGTCCCTGGGAAGTCTCACTGCCTGGCCTGCATTAATGCCTCACCAGATGACCTTAGACATCGGACATGGAGTGGCATTAAATTCTATGTCAAAAATAGAATCACTGCAATTCGAAAACAAAATCTAAAATAAAATTCCTTTAAAATAGTTGTTTGGTTTCTAGTGACTGTTTTGTATTACTTAAAGTCTTGGTAAAAAAAGATTATGTCTATGGGTCCCATTCTGAACGGCCCTGTCAAAGGGACCCACCAGGTAACAAAAACGTGTGTGTGTGTGTGTGTGTGTGTGTGTGTGTGTGTGTGTGTGTGTGTGTGTGTGTGTGTGTGTGTGTGTGTGTGTGTGTGTGTGTGTGCATGTGCCAAATCGGATCCACTGGTGAGTCTAGTGCAGGGGTGTCAAACTCATTTTGGTCCGGGGGCCACATACAACCTAATCTGATCTCAAGTGGGCCGGACCAGGAGATGCTCTACAAAAATATCCAAAAACGGTACAAAGTCCAACTTTTTGTGCACATAAACACATTTATTTAAAACTTCCTTTAAAACACTATCCTTTAATACTCAGTTTTCTGTTACAAACTTAAATGTAACAGTGAGTTTTCCATAGTGCAAATAATGTAGCGTATTTACAATATTACATTGAAAATGGTATTTCACAATATGTATATTAATATTTGTGTGTTAGCTTTGTTTTAAGGCTCATTACAGAGAAAACCTGCTCACAAAGGTAAAGTAGGTAGATAGAAAAAAGCACTTAAACACAGCACCTCAGCTTAACCATCTTCAGTGTGGTAAGGTCCATGGTTATGTTATTATCACATTAACCATCTTCAGTGTGTAAGGTCCATGGTTATGTTATTATCACATTAACCATCTTCAGTGTGTAAGGTCCATGGTTATGTTATTATCACATTAACCATCTTCAGTGTGGTAAGGTCCATGGTTATGTTATTATCACATTAACCATCTTCAGTGTGTAAGGTCCATGGTTATGTTATTATCACATTAACCATCTTCAGTGTGGTACGGTCCATGGTTATGTTATTATCACATTAACCATCTTCAGTGTGGTACGGTCCATGGTTATGTTATTATCACATTAACCATCTTCAGTGCGGTAAGGTCCATGGTTATGTTATTATCACATTAACCATCTTCAGTGTGGTAAGGTCCATGGTTATGTTATTATCACATTAACCATCTTCAGTGTGGTAAGGTCCATGGTTATGTTATTATCACATTAACCACCTTCAGTGTGGTAAGGTCCATGGTTATGTTATTATCACATTAACCATCTTCAGTGTGGTAAGGTCCATGGTTATGTTATTATCACATTAACCACCTTCAGTGTGGTAAGGTCCATGGTTATGTTATTATCACATTAACCACCTTCAGTGTGGTAAGGTCCATGGTTATGTTATTATCACATTAACCATCTTCAGTGTGTAAGGTCCAGGGTTATGTTATTATCACATTAACCATCTTCAGTGTGTAAGGTCCATGGTTATGTTATTATCACAGAGAAAGCATCAAACTGACCATGATTCAGTTGAAATGAATAAAACAACTTCCATAACCAAAGCAAAGGAAGGTTTCTCACCCATCATCTGTACTTCTTAGCAAGTTTTACTTCCATAACGTGATTCATTCTTAACGACTGCAGCAGTGTCTCTGTGTAAAATACAGTCAAATGTCCAAAAATCATCACCTCCATTTGCAGCTTTGTCACTACACCTGTTTTTACCATCGGTACCAGTCCACACTGTCCAACACACCAGCAACAACAGCAGAACCAGCAGCAGCAGCAGCAGCAGCGCTCAAAACTCCTCTGATAGTTTCAGACACAAATGAATATGTGACATCAGTAACATCAGTCTCTTATCAATAGCAACATGTTGGTAAAAGCGAGTGGTTTCTCAGACCATGTCTGCAGCCTGTGAGAGTTTTAACAAACTCTCTCTCACTGTGCGGCTGCGATGCTAATGCTAATGTTGTTAGCACAGGTAGCTTCCCTTTACAGCAGCAGAACTAACCTCTCGCTCTGGGCACAAACAGACTGCTGTGTCTTCAGGGCCAGACATGTTTATCTTCTGTTTTCTCAATTCTTCGCTCAAAGTGCCGTATTTTTTGCCGAGTCTTGTAGTTTAAGATGTTATTCCTTCAGCACCGCTCTGGTGGAGCCACTACAGACGCACTGGACTCACCCCTGAGCGCGGCGCTGCGGCGTCGCGGCGCCTCGCGGCGCGGAGCGGCTTTTTAAAATGTATTTTTATTATATTTTTACATAAATGAGCCACGGGCCGTGTCAAATCTCTTGGCGGGCCGGTTCCGGCCCGCGGGCCGTATGAATGACACCCCTGGTCTAGTGGAAAGGAAAATAAATGGTGAAATGACTAAAGGTGAAATTCAGGTCCAAACCAGGATTTTCAGTATGCTTCGACTTCGAGTGAACTAGTAAAACGGATTAAACCTTTGGTATAATCTGACCGTCTACAAATTGCTTAGGATTATGTTGAATTTCCCCAGGCTTAAAATATGGCTAAGAACTAATGATTCAAGCTTTGTTGATACCCCCATAGAGAGGGCAAGTCCTGTATTTCTGAGGTTATTTGGAGGTGAAAAGGGCAATGTAACAATGTAACAACAAAAAACACACAAAAAATGGCTTTATCAACCTAAAATGATTTAATTTATCAAACACAATTCCTTGGTGATGCCATGGTGGTCAAAATAAGTTGTCAAGGACCCATTGGATTTGTAATATTTATGAAAAATTCGTCCATTTCATAGTCATAGCTATTTCATTATGGCCACACAGGTGTCTCATTAGTCAAATATACAGCCCTCTGTGATTTTACAAACAGTGGCTTCTTCCTGGTTTCACGTTAGATGTTTTGAATTTTTTATCCGTTCGCTCCCACATCAGTGCCAGGTCTGTGGCTGCTGATCTCAGATTCAGGGAGTCCCTTGTTCACTTGTCTTAAGTGATTTGTCAGATCTGCTGTCCCATGATACTGTTTATCAATAAGCAATGTCAATGTTGCCATGGCTTCTGAAGAGATGACATTTTAAGTGGATTAAAGGACACTTGTGTGTGTATAGTACTTCTGACGCCCCAGTGATGTGATCTTTTATATACAGGTATATTTCAACATTATCCAAACCTATAACCCCCCAAACCTTGAAACAGAAGTTTTAATTGGCCAAAATATCTGGAAATATAAGAAACTTGGATGAAAAATATTTGAAATTGGAAGCAGCTATTCATTCCTCTGGTGTTGTAGTCGTGAATGCAATCGCTATGACAGGCAGCCTCTCACTGGGTGCTCTGCCTGCCCCCGTTGCTAAAGACTTGGAGTGTAGATGAGGCATTAAGCCGCTGTAAAGTCTGCTCGTGACGTCAGCATGCTTCATACAGTTTTCTCGGGGTCTTCTTCTTCTTCCCCTCTTTGGTTTTTTGCCCCTCCAGAGACCCGCTGCTTTCATTCCACATCCGCAGCTCGGCTCTGATCAAGTTGGAGCGGAGCTGCCTGTGTGGAGCCGATGTTCAGCGGTGAAAAGTGTTACAGGGCTAGAAATGTACTCAATTTCATTTCACTACTGCTGCCAAAATTTGCTCACCTTTGTTCATATATTTCACTTCTGCTTATGTTAGGACTTTGTTGTGATTGTTGTGAGTATTGCATTTAATATTGCAAATAAATATTGCAATGTTAAAAGAAAAGTCTGAAGTCTTGAGAATAGAGAATAGAGATGTAAAGTTTTTAAAAGTCATTAGAACATGTTAATTAATATTTGTCCCATCAGAAAGAGTGTTGTTACAGTAAAATATTATTAAGAAGATTTTTTGGGCTGAGAGCTGATTGGCTGAGTGAGGGTGGTCGTCTCTTTTTCACTTTTCTGTCTGAAAAAGATGATGTATTGATGTGACAGAGGCCACAGGGACCGTCTCAGTAGAAATCCTTTTTGGAGCACTGTGCACAACCCCAATCAAAAGGGTTCTGCTGGGCGCGCTCTTTCTGCTCCCCTCCCGACACTCACAAAGTTTTAGTCCCCTACTACCCCACACGCTCATGTGCTCGCTGTTTACAGAGCTCACGCCTCACAATGTGGATTGCACATTTGAACGTGGATCACGTGACCATAGAATGATAGAACTCGGGAAGGATGAGACTTTCTTTTGGGTGGCCTGTTTTCGAGCTAAGATCGTACCCTCTGCATGTCCCAGAGCCATCTTCTTCTGATCAGACCTGCGCAGCCTCCACGGTGGTGCGCGTCTTTGCTTGGACCCACATGGACCAGTTGCCGTTGCACTGATTGTTGGTGCAACACATACAGTATAATCCACACGTTTATGGGTGACTTGAGTTTCACATCTTAATCAAACAAACTATTGGCATAGCCCTACCATAAATTGCATATTTGTAATGTGAGAGGTGTGAGTGCTGGGAATATGTTTATTGTTGTTTAAAACATTGTTTATTTATCCAAATCTTAAATTTCAAGCGTGTTATTTGCATGTTGAAATGAAAGTTGAGATGGGTGTAAAATATAAACCACCTCCAGACTCGGTGTATATTCTGTGCGTACAGTACGCTCACTTCTAGATTGATAAATCCCGAAATGTGTAAATATTTTGCGTACGCCTCATTTACTCGATATTGGAAATTAGTGCGATATTCAATATGAGTGTTTAGTATTTCGATCACAATATTATTGCATGTACTCGCACACACACACACACACGCACATACACACACTGATCAGAAAACAACAGGCAGAAAAAAAAAGTAATAAAATAACCACAATTTGCCCCACAACAGAGCACTGTGCTTAAGGATGGGATTATACACTCCCAAACACCCAAAACCAGATGACGAAGAAGCACTTCAAGATAAACCACAGTAAAAAACACTAAAAAGAACCCTGGCAAAGTCCTTTTAATCTCTCATGTGTTCGCCTCTGATTGTGCGCATTGCGTCTCCATGGTAACTGTGGAACTGTCCTCAATAGGGGCAGTCCACGTACAGAGACCATTGGAGTTATTTACGGGGGGATGAGTGCGGACTATACTTTGGTTATGTGTATCTTATCCACTTCCAAACATATCAGAGAGAAGCCATTACCCCTGCACTCCCCCTGGGACCAGTCCACTCGCCTCGCGCACACATTAACTTGTACTCTGCAGCTATAAATAGTGCCACATTCAAATCACATTTTCACTTCTGCTGCGGCGCGCTCCCGCTTGTCACTCCTGCTTATGCTTTTTCATGGTGCACCAGATATTTTTAGAGGGTCAAAATTTTACATATACAAATACTACAAGGGCAAAAGTTTACGTCTGCGTTTAGAGCAGTGCGATTCGTGGGATTTTTGTGTGAAATGTGATCCGTGTGGGTTCAGAGGAATATGTCGGATCTCTTTTCTATTTTTATTATTGGCCAAATCCACGCATATGAGTATGTTTTGGATTGGGTAATTGAAAGAAAAAATATACCAGGTAATGAGTAATATGGATTATTTTTGAGATTTTGTTCTCCCTGATTCAGAAAGTATCTTCCCCGAGCATAAATTAGTGGTGTTAATTATTCAAATCTTTGATGTTAGATTACGGATTATTCGCAAAAAATGCTAACAACAATACTGTAAATTGCGGAAGCATATTTTGGCACACAAAAAATAATGTCTTAAAAAACAGACATGAACATTTGTTCAAGGTGACTACCAAATGTTCTAGACACTGAATTCTAGATTAAAAAATGATATCTGACATGTGTATATTATTGGAGCTGAAGTTGGCTGGATGACAGTTTGAACATAAGGTGTACGTTTACGAGTTCTGCTTTTAGATTAGTGTTACCATGATCCTTTGCAGACCTCATCAATAAGCAAAGGAATGGGTTCTAATGAAGTGACTGAATTCTGCATATTCTGAGCAGTAAAATGAGTAATGCCATGTTTATATTGGTGGAAGTTGAAAAAAAAATGCAAAGACTAAAAAAAATAGTGTCTTGGCCAATTACTGATGTCTTGTGATACTACAAAATGGATAAATCGGTAATTCCGTAGTCGATACTATTTGTATTTTTGAGTGTAGTTTTTTTTTTTCTGGCTTTCAAGCTTTTTCAACGGTGCTCCATTACCGCATCAATTAAAACAACTGTACTGTTTTTAACAGGGATTTCGTTCTAAAAGTAACCTGCAATAATCCTTGAAGTATCAGCATGTTTCCCCTCACTCACAATTTTCTAACCACCTGAACTCATGACTACTGAAGTGTGCGCGTGGGCCGTGGAGACATCAAAGCTGTTTGTCGTAGGTCTGAGCGCTGCTGCAACTGTCAAAAGCCGGGTATACACAGTAAAGCTGCAGCGGTCACCACGGTGAGGAGCAGGAGTGGGACTGAGGGCTATGGGAAGACTGCAGTAACAAGCCACAAACGTTTTCTTCTGACTTAAAAAAATACTGTCATGTTTTACTAGCGGTTATATACAGTTATGATGTTGTTGGAGTATACACACACGCATGAGAAGCATGCTGTCATAAAACACACAATTGCACATTGAAAATAAAAAAATGGTGGCTTCTGTCATTGTTTTCTAGATTTATAGTTTGTCATTTAACTGTCCTTTTACAAACATGTGACTTAACTTGGCTAAGTTTCCAGTTGAAAGGCAAGTCTCACTGTAAAACAAGTTTATGAAGCACCAAAATCACATATAATTCAGGGATATTTTAAACCAAACTAAGAGTCATTTCAGGAAAAATCAATAACTATCGCAAGAATAGATATCTGACCACTTCACAAAAAGAAGGTCACCACCTTTAAGCAACAACTATAATAACAAATGAAACAGGGGACTCCTCTAGGAAAAGTATGCACGTTTTTATACATTATTAAGCGTCATGAAATCTTTCAATTTGAAAAAAAACCAGCCATTATATTGGTCAATTGGTCAAATATTGGCAGTTCTCCAGTGTCGTGTTTAAAGTAAACAAAATGTTATTGAAAGTGAAAAGTTTTGTCTCTAAAATATCAAATGTAGACAGACTTATTTGCATGCTTATTACTCACTTATTTCTCTAATGATATGTTACACGGAGGATTCAGCGCACAGTCCTCTGATAAGCACATACATATTGCCACCCTGTAAACCCAAAGCCAACAACATATTCAGCATTTAACAACTAGATTTCCTTTTGACTGTGCAGCGAAGATGACTCAAAGCTCATTTTCCCTTTTCCCTGGTCTTATCACGACGCGCACATCAAGCGCGCTACCTCCGCTGAAGCGCTCATGGATGTGTGAGCGTTCCTCCCACTGCTTATCTCTAAACTGCTGCCAGACACCCAGGATGGCAAATGTGTTTTCGGCTCTATCAAGGAATCTTTCTCCAAAAAAATAAAAAATAAATAACTTTCATGTTTTTGTAATGATTAGAAAAAAATAAACCAAAAAAGAAACTAATTGCATCGAGTACTTTTTGTGGTGTTTGGATTGGTGGTGGATCTCCAGTGTCGGTTATTATTGACGTGCTCTGGAGAAGAACAACATTGGTAATTCCTGTATCACAGATGGATTTTAGCTGCATTTGGGATTTGTGTTTCTCATCGAAAACATTTGTCAACAGGTGCTGTTTTTTCCATTCACGCCACTATCTGTGACTTAAGGCACAAATTACAAACACATTCCCCCCACCCCTTCTGTTTAAATGCTGTTTTCAAACTGATGAATCCTCAGACTATAGGGTCATGAAGCTGTTTTCTGTCTATTAAAAAGTACAATCTAATCTAATCTAATCTATGCCAAATACTGTATGACATGTACATTTCTCCATTGTGAGATCAATAAAGTTAATCGTATCTTATCTTGGAGGTGGCACAGTGGCGCTGTGGGCTTGTGCTTCAAAGTTAAAAGGTCCGGAGTTTGCATATTTTCCTTGTGTCTGCTCTGGTTTCCTCCGTGTGCTCCTGGTACCACTAAAAACATGTACAGTCGTTCAGCATTTGTGTGACCTGAAACCTGGTTCACACAACAGGATAAAATAGACCATATTCTCCCCTTCTGACTTTCTTAAGATAATTTCATAATATATTGCTAGAGTGTGTGGCGTGTTAAGAAGTCTCGTCTGCTCTGAAGGATGTCAGGCCCGCTTCGATCTCAAAGCGGGGGTTAGGGCTGTTATAACTGTGATTGTAATCGCCATGTGTCTCTCGGGTGTGGAATATTTGCCGACAGTTTAAACATCTCATCGTGTGAACCAGGTTTTAGGCTAAGTCTGATGTATACAGAATCTGCTGTTCATTGATACTCAGTGTCCTTCTTGTTTGGAATGATCTGAACAGTGATGCTTCACCTGGGTGCAAGCATAAGCCCAGAAACGCTACTGCACATGTCTTTGCAGCAAGAGCTGCACCTCTTATTGGCTGGGAAGTGGAAGTTCATGTTCAAGTTCATTACAAGGGTTTGCATTTGTTGACAGAATGTGGAGTTTGGCACGGGAGACACCATTCCAGATTTCACCAAAGAAACTGGCAATGACCCATGATTCTAACT